TGACTTGTTTTATTTAGCCACTTCTCATGCTCATGAATTGTTCTAGCACATTTATAGATAGATTAGATTATTTAGTTATCGAGACATTATTTTCACCTCGTGGTTATATTTTACAAGTGAAGGCTCCCACAGGAGGCAAAAAAAAGAGGATACTACTAAGAATTTGAGAAGCTAGTTATTGTATAGTTATATTCTTTTAGTATTTGTATAACTAATTATATATATGTATATATATTATGCCATCTTACGACATGCATCATCTTTAGGGTCACTTGCATGAGATTATGATGTTTTGGTATATTTCGGTCTAAGATATTATAATTGTAATGGAAACTGTTGTAAAAAGCCAAAACACTAGTGCAAGCGTCATTATTATGTTGATTGTGTGATTATGAATGGCCATCAATTCATTGTATTGAATTATGCTCTTACCCTTTTATTAATGTTAAATCGGGGTTTAGATGGTCAATTTGTTTTTGATATGTATGTATTGGAATATAACTATTTTATTAGGTACTTTGAGGTCCGTGTGAATTGGTTTAAGTGGTCCCTAGGCTATTGGCATTTGGTTTGAGGTTTTATACACCTTTGGGCTGGTTTGAAATGAAAAAGTATCTTTTCACATTCGGGTATCCAATTTATAAACAACTAAGTATTTTGTTGTGAAACTTATGTCAATAGTTAGGTAGCTTAATTAGCTACATGTGGATACTTGAATAGCTCAAATTGGACGTCAGATGGTGAAACAACATGCTTTGTAAATTGGTCACGAAGTGTTGTCATGACAGTAGGGGTACGTTGCGACGCAAGACACAATGAGGGGCTTCCTCCTTTGTGCCATTTGTAGCTACAGGTATGATGACTTCTAAATATTTTAATTAATTTAATGGGATTTTTAATACAATTGAAAGTCATCTTGTGGAATTGATTAGCAAATATGTGAATAATTGGATAATTATTTGTAAGATTGAAGGTGAATAAAGTCCAAGGCAATTGTAGAAATTATTGGATCAATTATGGTATTAAATCTAGTTTATATTCATAGAGGTGGCCTAATTTATAGGCCCGAAGCTGATAATTTTGAAGCTCATAACAAATTAAATTTTACCCAGTGATGCTACAGCACCAATTTTGAATGTCGCGACATTAGACTAGCTTTTAGCAAAATGCACAACTTCACTTAATTTCAATTTTAAGAGTTTTTTAAGACCAATTTTTGCTCCACTTCATTTTGAACCAGCAGCTGCATGTTTAAGGATCACTTGGGGAGAATCTTGGGGAGCACTTCGGTCATGTAATTTGTGATAGAAATCATCCTTCCTAAGCTTTCTTTTCCCTTTTCTCTTCATTTGGATGTATATTCTTTTGAGTTTTGATATTTTTATGGCTATTAGTGGTTGATTTTACTTGACTTAGAGTAACTATGAACTTGTTAGTGGATTATAACTTGTTTTTACCCATTGGTTATGCTTAATGTTTATTTTGATTGCTCAATCTTGTATTTAATTGTCTATTTAACATTTGGCCACTATAAAATATGAATTTAGTGTTGGGGGGGTTTTTCCTTGAGAAAGGAAAATCTCATTTCAACCCTTAGATTGAGTAATATGAGATTATATTACTATCTAATTTGCAATTAGGATAGAAATATACTTAAGTTCTCCATACAATCAAATTAGAATGAATTGGAATTGAATTTTTGTCTTAGATAATTTTGTTAGAAATAATATAATTAATTTGAGAAAGGGTTATTTAAGGTTTGAAAGGCCCTTATAGCCACTAATACTCTAGATTAATAAAATTGGCATTAAAATTAATTAAGTGGGTAAAAGAATGATCTATGCAGTTAATAAGAGATTAATGACTTTAGGTTGTCTTGGATATTCGTAGTCGTTGGATTGAGAATCTCATTACATTTTTATTCATTTTTTAATTTTGGTTAATCAATTGATTCTAATTGGTTTTTCTTGATGTAAACAAAAGTGAAAACTTTATTGCCTAATTGCTATTTTGCTTAATTTCTTGTGAGATCGACCTTGATGCACTACTATATTACAAATTGACCCGTACACTTACGGTGAAACATTTTATATGCATCATATCTATCTCGCAGTGGATGGAGCAAATTAGACTATGTCCAATTTTCCCTCTCTTGATTTAGGTTTGCAACATTTTCTTTTGCCATGCTTCCGTGCTTCTTTTATGTATGTTTTAAAACTATTGTTGGAGCTCAAATAATTTTTAAAAAGGGTTTTTTTTCTCATAATCCCAAAGTTTATTACCTTGAATTTTAAACTCTTGTCTAGTGATAACGTAGTTTAAGGATATTTAATCATAATTATCATAATAGTATCGTGTGGTGTGTTTGGTAATGTCAAAATGGACATTACAAAGACCTTCGGTTACTAGGCATAGCTTAAACTAGCAAAGTGGAAATTTGAGCATATATATTTTTCTTTTCTTCGATTTGCTCAATTAATTTTTTTTCTTTTGTTTTTTTTTCTCAATCCATTTCTAAAGAGGTGCTAGCAACATTCAATTGAAAGTATATGAATTCAAAAATAAATATTATAATCATCCGTAGCTTGATCAACTATGGTTAACACCTTAATTGTGATTCAAAGAATTAGCCTAAAAACTTTTTCTACTTGATTAATGAGTGAACTACCATCCCTAAAGAAATAAAATTAAGTGTTTAAAGAGTAGCAGTTACCATATACTTGGTGGAAGGATGTACTCTAACATTTAATTAATGCAAAGTTATAAAAAAATTTTAAAAAATATTAGAGATATTTTTCACCACCAAACTATTTTTATAAACAATAATTTATATAATTATTTTTCATGGCAACATTTGTTGCCACTAAAAGTATATTTTTTTAAAAAATTAAATATAATTTTAAATTATATGAAACAATTTATAAAATTATTATTAAAATTTTTTATTATGAATTATTTTAAAAATTTAAAATTGAATAAAATCATTCAAAAGATATTTATGAAATTAGATTTCTTATTTTATATATAGAATGAGAAATAAATGATATATAGGATCAAGAAACAAAAGAAATAATAAGGAATATGTGTTAAGTTTAATAATTAAATTATTTTTTAATTCTCTATTATACATAATATTTTTTAGACATATTTATCTCATCTTTTTTTAAGAATGATCTTATTAAGCTAGTATTTTACTACATATATATATAGTAATATAAATTATTTTTTTTACAAAATTTCACATTTTAATAATAATTTTATGAAACATTAAATCTCAACCATTAAAAATAGATCCAATGGTTGAGATGAAAAGTGGAGAAAAAAATGAAGAGAGGGAGAAATGAAGAGAAGCCAGGTCCGCATGGTAGGGTGACATGGAGTGAGGCATCGATGATATGGCATAAGGAGGTGTGCATGTGATGGATGACGTGGAGTGAGGTGTCAATGACATGGCATGAAGAGGCCCGTCGTCAATGATGTGGCATAAGGAGGCGCACATGTAATAGATGACGTGGTAGAGTCTATGTTTGTTATCGCAAAAAACTATTAGCATGAGAATTTTGATGATAACCTTTTGGTGGTGAAAAGTCGGCACTAAAAACTTTTAGTGATACCTTTTTATTTTTTTTGGTAGTGATGGTAATGTCACTTTTATTGGATCACATAAATAATTTTTTTAAAGTTTCAACTTATGATTAATAATTCTTTTCATTTTCTTTATGTGATGGTTTAATAAGCACTAAAAACATTATTACTGGTTTAGCTGTTGCATTGAAACAGGTGTAAAATGGTAGAAGATAATTATGAGCTTCATTTTTCTGTTACAATTGTGCTGATTCTCATAGAATTGCAACTTTAGAAACCAATAAACTATTCTAAGTTAATCTTTTTTCTTTTAAATAATAAAACTTATTTCAAATGGTTCATTAATGTGCTTGATTTGAAGGATGACAATTTTAGTGATACCAAATTTAGTGTTTGACCAAGTTACAGGAATTACCAAACAATGGCCAGGGGAATGGTAAGAATCATAAGAACTAGCTATTCCTACCTATTTCAACCATGGAAGAAAAGAATTTTCATATATTAAGATAGAAGCATTTGACATTAGAATTTGTCATAATGCCAATAAAAGTCTAGTCAAAATATTACTTTCTCATTTGTGTTACTGATCAAACATTGTAATTTTACAATATTTGCTACAAATTATCAAAAAAAAATATTGTGAAGGATGAAAATTGATTTGTTGAATATTGATTTGCTTGTAGGTTGCAAGTAGTTGATTGAAGCAAAGCAAGCACCATCTTGCAAAAATTTGTCCTTTGAGCTATGCACAAAGTCATAAAGTGTCCATTAAAGTGTAAAGCAAACAATTTTCAAAAGCCAAAAGTTAAAAGTTGTCATATACAATACTAAATTGTAAAGCCAAAAGTCAAAATTTATCACGTACAATGCTGAATTATAAATTAGTGAAGTGTAAAGCAAGCTATACTCACAAGCCAAAAAAAAGTCCAATGTGCATTTTACTACTATGTATGAAGAAGAAATTATGTTATTAGTTAGGTTTGTAACATGTATAGCTTATGAAGAGGTTAAATTGTATAGAAAATGGTTTTGTTTATTAGAAGCAAATTGTATATGACATCTTTGAAATAAATAGTGTCATTTTTATGTACATTATACACATATGTTTTTCTATTCATTAACTTATGAGTAATTTGTCATGAGATCTAAGGCTTTAAGTGATGGAATTTCATTACATTGTACCTACATTTGCAAATGTTATTGGTTGATACAAAAACTATATTACGATGTATAACACTTAAGCATTAGTTGTCTATACTTATGTGTGATGTCAAGTCTAGGAAATGCTTGAATCTCATTTCTTCTAACATCATAAACAGCACCCGACTTTGCTTCCTTAGTCTAACACTTTAGAATATACTATTCAAGCATAACTCTTAAATCGTTTGACTCATATACTTTTAATGCATGGCAATATAATATCCCTATATTCTCAAATTTTTTACAAGGGCAAGAAATTTCATGTGTCAGGTTTGAACTAAACTCTCCATTCCCCTTTTTCATCAATCATATAGGTAGTATATAGGAGTAATGAATCTTTATTATCACAAGTAGATAACTCCACTAAGAATTGGAGATCCCATTATTCTTGGAACATCCTAAAGATAGTAGGGGTATACACTTGTTCAAGTTGGTGTAGGATAGGTGCACTTTGATTGACCATCTTAGGAATCTTCTGTCGAGATTCATACTCAAGTTCCACTTTCTTGTATTACTTCTTTGTTACAACTTTATCAAACCTTTTAAAGAATCGATTGATCTCCAATTTTGGTTTCGTACATCTCATCACATTAACAATCACACTTTTACTACTTGTGTGTTCATCATATCTAGCATGCTTGCATCTTTCACATAGAACGAAGCCTATGTCTCCTTGATATTATAAGTGGAATTCAACCATCCATTTTCCTAGATATAATAAGAAGATAATAATTAGAAGATAATAGTTAGCTCTATTCTTGTTCAAACTTGTCTACATCAACATAATTAAACATGCATTTCTTGAAATAAAAATCGTGACCATTCTTTCATCAGGATCCCAAGGTGTTTAACATCATTTTTCAATAAATGCCAACTACATAAATAATGTTTTGTGTCACTAAGAACTTCATGCAATGCTCTTGCCATATCTTGATCTTTGTCTATAAATACAATTTGAAACTTATTATTTTTATATGAGCATCCAAAAATGTTTCTAGTAACCACTTGAAAGATTCGATATTCTCATTGTATAATAGCGCTGCTCTAAAAATGACTACACTTCTATGATGATTGAACCCAAAAAAAGAGTGCAAGGGGTTGATGATTTTGATTTATGTTGTATGTTGTGTCCAATGATACAATCTCACCAAAGTGTGTACAATCTATTGACATAAGACCATTTGCCTAAAAAATACTAGCGATGTGTTGGTTTGGGTCTAATTGATATTTGTGATACAATGCTGGATTTTTTGCAATCCATTTTTGCAAATGCTGAAGCAGACATCCTACCTTTTCAAACTTCATATGTTTCTTTTTCTAGACTTTAAGTAATTATTTGCATTTTTCATTGTATACCTAAGATTTTCTTAACTACCAGCATATGTACTCATTACATCAAAAGTAGCCTTACGTTCAAGCCCAAATTCTTCTACAAGATCTATCTCATACACCTAAACTTTTGATAAATTTCTCTAAGATGTTAAGAAGCAAATTGTGTCTTTTGTATGAAGAGTGATTATGTTTTTCATCAAACATAGTATTTTTGAACTTTTGCCCAACAAGAGATACTACCATTTTTGTCTTATACTTGATCCTCATTTTTGTGGCATACCTATGGAAGAATATATTCTTTTTTAATTTTTTTTTCTCCAAACACCTTCCTTACAACATAAATGTCTATATGTGATAATATTAGACTTATCTTTTCTACTACTTGTAGAAGTACCTTTCTAACTCCAAATCAATTTCTTTTACCATATTCTCTCCAAAACTGCCATGACTCATCTAAATTTTCAAATTCCCTCCCTATTTTGGGTTCTAATTCATCCTCCACTTCAATGGTCCTTGCATAAAATAAAAGTACTATATATTTTTTTATAATGTTTATACAAATTTTCTAAAAAAAGAGATAACAAAACACCCACAAAATTCTTTCCTTGATCATTTCCTTTCTTTCATCTTGTTCTGTTATATTATATTATATTTTATATACATATATATATATATATTATATCTCATCCAATATTGCATTTTTATTTAGTTTTGTTAATTTCTTAAGCTATCTCAAATTTCAATTTAAAAAAAAAACAAGAAGATCCAGAGAGCTTGAGCATACTCAAAAAACCACCTCTATGATAAAGCTTACCAAAAAATGGTTAGAATGAAGACATGAGGTCCCTCCCTCCACTTAAGTTATAGAATGCTATGCATGAATCTTAAACTCAATGAAAGATGAAAAAAGGCACCAAAACATACACTCCTCCTCCTCCTGTTGATTTTATAAAATAGGGTCCAAGGCTTCAAACAAATTGAGGGAACCTAAATATCCTTATATTATTAAATTTTAATGAAAAAAAAATAATGAAAGGTTATGATTAACATGTGATGAATGGCCTAGATTTTTTCGCTTTAATGAAACAGTGCGTATGCATGATAAGCACCTATTGAACATGAACTCAACTTGAAAACTTGCTCATGTTGGTGTAATAGAGCAACTAGATTAGACAATATATTAGAGGGTAACTAAAAAGAAGTCAAAGATGCCATATCAGAACATATATTATAACTAAGAAGAAAGCAATCATGGATTAGCGGGCAAAAATATTCATCAACTTTTTCTTCAAGAGTACCTATTATCTTAAGTGAAAGACAGTACAAGAGTGCCCATAACATTAATGAAGTGGGTGCAAAAGTGCCCACCCTATTTAATTTGGATTATGTCCATTAATGTTGATAGTTAAAAAAAGAAGAAGCAAACATAAGGTGTAAAAATACCCATAAACTTTTTTTCTAGGAGCTTTTGGTATCTTAAAGTCAACAATGGTACATGGCTACTTATTAATTTTATAAAATAGGTTAACTTTCCCCAGATGGGCTTAGTTCGAATAACCTAATTCTTTTTTATAATTAATAAAATAAAACTAAAATTAGATAAAAATTGAAAAATCTTAATTTTTTAGATAAAAATTAAATTTGACTAAATAAATAAACTAATATAATATTTTATAATTTAGGTATTTAGGCCAGCTCCAATAAGCTTGAAAGCCTAATTTGTTAGGGTTGAGTTTGGCTATATAGCTTCTTTTATAAAGTTAATGAGCACCCATAGACCATTATTGATTTAAGGTACCATAAGCTCCCAAGTAAAAAGTTTATGTGTATTTTTGCCCTTTATGTTTGCTTTCTTTTTTTTTAATGGTCAACATTAATGGACATTACTCAAATTTAATGATTTGGGCATTTTTGCACCTACTTCATCAACATTATGGGCACTCTTGCACTATCCTTCATCTCAAGATACTGGATACCCTAGAGAAAAAGTTCATGCATGTTTTTTCCTTTAACCCAACAATCATTGATAGACTTTGTAACATACGCCAAACAAGCAATGCAATTTTTGTAACCATGCATGCTAGTTGAGGAGAAGCATAGTGACATCCTTGTAACATGACATATTAAAATTAACAAGAAAATTCAGAATGTAGTAGTTAATTCTATAATTAGCAAATGATAACCAAGAGTGGCTAACCACCTTGACCCAATGACTAAATTAAATCCCACTTTTACTAACATATAAGCATCATCATCCAAAGTAATAGACCGGCCTTGGATAGTAGGAAATATCACACACAAAACTATCACCTTTAATTTCAAAACCATCACTAATCTGCACACGAAGAGGAAAGGGCTGAGAATCAAAGGTAATTTGAAATAGTACATAATATGTGCATGAATCAAATAATCAAAGGCACCCCCATCCACAAGATAATGAACTTGTATGCCACTGATGATTCATGTAAACCAAATGGTACAATTGCCACTTGACCCTTGGAAAGTCTAGAGAGAGAGATTGTGAAGAGTAGTTGTACTTGCATTCTCTCCCATAAGCTCAAGAATTGCTTCATCAACAATCCAAAAGAGAATCATCATCCAAACCCTCAATGTGATTAGCCAAAGTCATAAAATCCTAGTAGTATGACTTGAATAAGTCTAGCTACATGAGTTTAAAAAGCTTGGCATGAAGGCATTCATATTGAGAAGGACCATAATGATCCTTGAATGCATTAACAAGGTCCACCCACCCATAAACCTCATGATTTGTATCCTAGAAACATCTTAAACTAGGGAACAATAAGACCATCAAAATGAAAGCAATAAATCAAAGATGGTAATTAAAGGTGTCACAATAATAGAAAAATTGCTCAGCCTTGAAAATTTAAAAAACCATCAAACCGAAAAAAAAAATCCAACTTGACTTAGTAGAAAGGTTGGTGAGGTTGAGAAGGATGAAGAACCACTACCAATAAAAGGAGAAATGAATTGACAAAAATGGTTAAAACGATGAATGAATGATTCCAACTTTAGAATAAGAGAGTGTATTAAAAGATTCAACATTATAATGATTCCAACTTGTAATGCAAATAAGAATCAAATGCAACAATTTGATGAATTTACTATACTCAATCATTGTCCTAACATTACAATGATTATCCTATACTCAAGAAAGCAAATAACAGAAAGGGAATTCAGTAAGAAATAATAAGAGAGAGAGAGAGATAGAGAGAGAGAGAGAGAGTCAAAGGGATATATTTTTGCATGAGATTTTCCACACCCTTTTCCTCTATATTAGTACACTATAATATTTGGCACACAAAAAAATGTTTTCTATAAAGAAAAAGAACAAGATATCCAAAAAAAAAATGAGATAAGTGCATTTTTCATTTCCTTTCAAGGAAGCTCTTTTTTTGTTATTAAACATTGTAAATACCTCTATTTTCCCTTACTTTTCACGTTCTTTCCTTGGCCTTTTCATTGCTCCACAATGGCCTATTATCTAATGGGCCCTTCTCATGTGGCCCAATATCTACTTTACTAGGTCTAACATATGTAGTAGGCTTTGTAACCCCATGATAGTATTTATTATTTAAGAAAAAAATAATTTACTACTAACCATCAATTTTCTATTCTATTATAGAGAATGGTACGAAGATACAATGATAAGGAAAAACTCAAGAAAGGGTCCAAAGAAAAAAACACACACATTCATGCATGTATATATAAATATATACGGGGAGAGAGAGATTTGGTATTAGGATTTTCTAAATTTAAAATACTTTAAATGATACAAAAGATGAGAATGTGCATAAATCCATTCATTCTATTTTTTGTCATTCTCTCTTATAGCTTTACCTCTCTTATTTTATGGATACTTTAAAAATTTTCTAAGTTTGGAAAGTCCAAATCAAAACTAGCACTAACAAGTCACTCATGGGCTAAAATTGTCCTCAATGGTTCTACATTCATGTCTTATATGAGTCCACTGTTTGCTAAGACTTGTTCATCATATAGCCTCCTTCTCGCATTGTTTGCCTACATTCATAAATACCACCAAAACCAGTTAAGTCCTTCATACTCTACTCAATTTGAAACCTATTGGAGATGGTGACAAAGTTAAATCATTTTCATTTTAACTCTCTTTTTTTGAATAAGTGGGTATCAAAAATGAAAAGCAACAAACAAAATACTCTTACATTACCTGTTGTTCCCAATTTATACGGCATGTTATGATGGAAAGTAGAATAGTTTGCACAAAAGAGCCAAATTGAAGGCCAATCCAAAGGCCTTTTCCTCGCAATTTTGCCCAAAAACTCAATGCAGCAGCCATTGGAATCCCACATAAATAAAAAGCTCCTAAGTTGATGTAAGCCCCTATGTGCTGCCATCCACAACCTCTAGCAATCCCTGTTCCATAGTTTAATATTTAGAGTTTGATTCTAACAAGGATTAAATGGCAAATTGGCCCATAAACTAGAGATTCAAAAATGCTTGGGAATCTAAACTCATTTTTGGCACAATGTTCCCCTTTAATTTTTAAAAATGATATAATGTTAATTCAACCATTAATAAAAATTAACTTTGACTGTTATTAACTACAAAATGACCTCAAAAAGTATATAAAATGATAAAAAAATTACAGAAAATGACTCAAAAATTACAAATAAGGGCAAACAATTACAACAAATGATCAAGAGAATTTTATTGGTTTAAGGTCTTTTTTTTTATATAATTTTTAGTCAACAAATAGTCAAAGTTAATATTTATTAACAGTAAGGATTGTATTGCACCATTTTAAAATGTTAAAAGAAAACATTACACTAAAATGAGTTCAGGATCTAAGATACTCCTAAACTTAAAGTTTAGGCTGATTTGCCATCCACAACCTCTAGCAATTCCTAGTCCATAGTTTAATGTTTAGAGATTAATTTTCACAAGAATTTAATGATAAATTGGCCCCTAAACTATATGTACATAGCATTTAGAACTTTAAACTTATTTTTTGTACAATGTTTCCTTTCAATTTCTTTTTAAAACAGTGCAATGTTATCCCTATTATTAACAAAATTTAATTTTGATCATTAATTCACCTAAAAATGATGGAAAATAACCTAAAAATTACATAAAAGGACCAAAAAAAGACTCAAAAAATTACAGAAAAAGACCAAAAAAAATTTATTGGTCCTTGCAGTCAAAAAAATTTTATCAGTCCTTTTTCTATAACTTTTTGATTAATTAATGGTCAAAGTTAACATTTGTTAATAGCAAGGGTCATATTGCAACATTTATAAATGTTGAAGGGGAACATTGCATCAAAAATAAGTTGAGTCCCAAACACTCTTAGATCTATACAATTTAAAAGCTTATTTGCCATATAATCCTTCTAACAACATGATGGTGGTCAATTTTAGTAGGGAGTGGAAAAAAGTTTCACATTAAATAGAATTCGACTAAGGAGAAGATACATAAGTAAAAACTAAAGACCTTCAAAATTAATATTATTTCTTTTAGGTCACGTCAAACCCACTTATATGCTTTTATTGTTGTCTTAAGCCTAACACAATGTTACATGAATATATCTGGATAATTCAAATTTACCTGAGAGAACACCTTGTATGCTATCGAAGATAACAGAGAGACAAAGTAGAGGAACCATGAAAGTGACATAGTCAACAACCTCCTTCTCATTGCTGAAAGTGTAACCATAAACATGGCGACATGCAAAAAGTGTTGTGCTTGCAAATATTGTCTCCAACACTGCAATAGACACTGTAACTACTGTAGATACTCGTGCAGCATCTGGATTCCCAGCTCCTAATTCATTTGAAATCCTAGTGCTATATATACACATATATTTATGAATGAAAAATACATAGGTTAAATAGTAGTTGACATGCATGCAGAAAGATACATTAATATAAATATATATTTCTAAGACTAAAATCTACAAAATTCTCTTAAATTTTGAGGGAGTTGCATGGAACCCCTCATGTTTTAAATTTTAAAATTAACCTCCTAACTTTTTTTTTAACTAAAAACTCCCCTACATTACTTTCTAGTTCTTATTAATAGAATTTGCCATGTCATATTAAAAAAAAAGAAATATAGAAGTTTATGTAGAATCCAATGAAAACTAATAATAGCTTTATAAAAAATTATCCATATTTTTTTATATTATTATTAACTTATATTGGATGCCACATAAGCTGTTGGGTGTCATTTTTTAATAAGACATAACAACTTCCATTAGTAAAACAACTAAAATTAAAATAATAGTAGGAGAGTCTGTTGTAAAAAAAAAAAGATTGAGGAGGTTAATTTTAAACCTTTTAAACGTTATGAGAGTTTTGTGCATCTATCTCCAAGTTTAAAAGATTTTTTTATATTTTAACCTATTTCTAAATATATACACAGGTGTTGTTTTTGTATGTCTTTGTTACCTTGCTGCTGCGCCAATTCCATAGGGAATACAATAGAGTGTTGAAATAGTGTTGAGACTGTAGAAGACAACATTAAAACATTAGGGTTTTGAAAAATTGGAGATATATCACACATGAGCGCAAAACCTTAAAGAGTTGTTTTCTAAAGCATACCATATAGATAGAACTGAAGTTTCAAGTTGTGGATTTGGTAATAGTCCAGACAGCAAAATCATCACCTCAAATGACCACCACTCTAAGCTGAAATCATTAACTTCTAATCAATTAACTATAGATCATATAGTTAAAACAACAAAAGACAAGGTACTTTAAAGTTGAAGTCAAGAGAAATTTTTGTATAGACCTAGTGCACTATATCATTTATGCTCTATCCAATAAAATTATACTAGTTCAATCAAATAAAATTTTATGTGTCATTATTTTTAATAATTTTATTTTTTAGAATAGAGTGTCTCTTTAATTTCTTATCTTTTTTTTCTATATTATCATCAATGATAGAATCCATTTATATTTACAATCATCTAATATGACATATTTATATTAGACAAAGCATAAATAATGTGATACACTAAATTTATGTAAGAATTTCTCTAAAATAATCTTCATTTCATCAATAGGGACATACCCATTAATGACCGTGAGGCACAAGTCCTCTCTGAAACTTTATTTTTGCCTAACACTACATGTATATGATGTATATTAATTGCCCTCATTTTTTAATAATATTTCTTTTAACGCCATTCAACTTTTTATATATTTATTACACACACATGCATGTATATCTTTATTTCACCATTTAGTCATTTATCATTCTACTTTACTAGCTAGATAAACCTATTTTCTATCTATGGAAATAAAACTCTTGCCAAATATACACATGATATATTTTCCCATAGAGTCTAAATTTTTTGGGTGTATGCTAAAATCTTTCGGAGTTATTTTTGATTAAATTCACAATTAAATTATGCTTGAAGAAAGAGGAAGAGAAAGATGAAATTACCATATCATGATTGCAGAAGGGATAGCAAACCTAAAAAACTCCCTCATAGCTTTAAAAAGCTCCATAGAAATAGGAGCTCTGGTCTTAGCACAAGTAGAAGAAAATCTCATATATAACCAAAGAATGATCACATTTTCCCAAACTGAAATACCAAGGGCCAATGCAGCACCAACATTGTGAAGCCCAGACTTGAACACCAGAACCCAACAAAGAGGCACATGAAGAACAAGAGAAGCACAAGAGCTCACAAGCATTGGAAGAATCAGGCTTTGCATTTGGTAATACCTAACCAGAGGTTGTAGAAATGCAAATCCAAAAAGTGAAGGAATAAGCCAGATTGTGAACTTGCCTGCTTCATGTGAGATCAGAGGATCTTGGCCTATGAAGACCAAGATCTTTTCCATGTAGATCCAAATGAGAGAGAGTGGGAGAGAAACTAGTATGAGAGAGAATATGGCGGTGTATGTTAGTGTTCCAAGCTTCTGATATTGCTGAGCTCCATAAGCTTGTCCACCCACAGTTTCTAGTCCACCTGCCAATCCCATCTGTTGCACACAAGTACAATCAATGATCTAACTTTGGGACGATATACAAGTGGATATGCATGTATGATGTGTGTATATAAAAGGGTTAAAGACCAAATTTATCCTTAAATTATTTTTCAATGAGCATCTGGTATCTTATGTAGCACTATAGGGTGGCACAAAATAACTTATGAAGTATTCAAATCATAGCACTAAACACTTACCGTTAATATTTAACAAACGGATGTTTATTCATTATTATGGGTCCTACATGAATTTAACATGTGGCATTAGCTTCATCAAACCCTGTCTCCTCTGTCTCTCCTACCTCTTAGGATACCACCATGGCTGAGGTTTTTCTTCAGGTCTGATGAACCATCAACCAAGTGTTCACCGCCAGAGCTGCCACGACATTCTCCTTCTTAAACAGAATCCGATCAAGGACGTGCCTTTTCTTCCATGCAAGCCATCCACCATTGGTTTTCATAAAGTCCATACGGTCAGTATCATCACCACATGTGCTCACCACGTGCATACAAGCCGTCGACCACCCGCCAGAGCCGCCAGAGCTGTTCGCTGAGTGCATGACATACAAGTTGTCAACAAGTGCCTTCGCTTCCCTTCTGGTACACAGTCTTTCTCTCTCCCTGTATGCATTCTGGACCAAGCCTAAGAGGCAGGAATCGATCTTTCGTTCTCATGCAAAGCAAGTTCGTGTTTAGCTCTACTTTAAAGATAGAAAATAGAGATTGACAGTACTAACTGCTTCCTCTACTGTATCAAATGTCCAAAGCCACAACTACCTTCAATTGTTGTTTCCAAACACACGAATTAACACGTGCGCGCGCGCATATAAACTATATGTGTGATACATGTGGTGTGGGAGGGTTGGAATGCAAGCTAGGAAGCAAGAGATTGTGAAGTATGTGAAGATGGTGATAGAAGGTGATAAGACAACATCGTCAAGGAGGAGCCAAGAAGGAAGGAATAAGAGTACTGGTTTTGGGCAGACAAAGAGAGGAGGAAGAAGATGATGCGCATATGGACAGAGGGAGAGAGGGGGAGGAAGATGAGAAACATGTTCCTAATTTAGAATGGCGCACAATTCATAACAAAGCAATGGACGTTGGTTAAAAATTGATGGTAAGTGATGGGCACTCCAATTTAAATGGTTGATGAATTATTTTGCACTACCCTATATTATAAGATACCAAATGCTCCACGGAATAGAGTTAAAATGCAAATTTAGCCTTTAACTCTAAATAAAAATACAAAGACGCACGTGTGCGCTAACTTTGGTTGGGGTATATGATTCTGATCTTGATGGACCTTATGTTCTAAAACATGGTAAAGAGAATAACTATTTCCTATATGACATAAACCAATAGTAAAGATTCAAGCATTATTGAGTAATAGTTGGAAATAATTCTGGATTAACTTTTAGTTTCTAAACTTTTTTTCAGTTATCAATTTAGTCCTCTAACTTTGACTTAATACCATTCAGTTCTTATAATTTATTGAGTTAAAAAAAAATGCAAGAACTGAATTATATTGAATCAAAAAATTATATTAATTGAATTGTTTCAAATCAAAAAACAAAAAGAGCATAATTGTTTCGAGTTTGGTTCATGGTTTGAATTAATAATTGAGAATAAATTCATCAAATAAAAATTATACTTCTTAATTAATTCTCATATTTTGATTTTTTCCCCCATAAAATTTGAACACTGAACTCTCAACGAATATCAAATTCTTTCCATTTGATCCAAATGTTCAATTGATTTTCTTAGCATAATAACATTATTTATTTATGCGATGTGTAACTCCCAAGTATTATTTTCTAATCCTCAAAAAATTCCTGTGCGCGTGTTTCTGTGTATGTTTTTGGAGATTTGATCTAAATTATACATAACTATTCTTAAGAGTTAAATGATAATTTTACTCTTAGACTATATGTTTATAAGTATCTATGACTATAAACCTTTTTTGGTGAAATATGTTCAACAATTAAAAATGGCACAATATTGCTTATGTTGTTAACAAAAGTTAACATTGATTGTTAGTTGACCAGAAAATTATAAAAAAAACTTTAAAAATTATTTTAAAAAATGACCTAGGAAAACTATAAATAAGCTAGTTCTCCTTAAAAAATTTATAGCTAGTGTAAAAATAAATTTACTTTTAAATTATAGATACATTAGTTAAGTTGTAAATTTTGGAGAATTTATAAATTTTAAAACATGATTTGTAAATTGTAAGTGAAGATTGTAATATATTAAAGTATTAATATTTCAATAAGATTTTATTAAACGAATATAATATTTTAACTTACTTATGGGTATTGTTGCTAGCCATGGGCAATCTAATAATCACTCTGTACCGATTAAAGTGGTTGATTAAAATAATATTTTTGTTATTTACATTAGTAAAATAATATTAGTCTCTTAAATTTATTTATAATTTAGGAGACTTATATAATTAATTTTCTTATAAAGTACTCGTAATTTTCTGGGTTGCTTTGTAATTTTGATATCTTTTTATAATTTTTGACTCACCTTGAAGGTCAAAGTTAATCATTATTAATAGTCAAAGTAACATTATACTGTTTTATAGTAGAATATTGTACTAAAACAAGCTTAGTATCTTAAACACTGTAAAATATAATTTAAAGATAAAATTATCATTTAATCCAAATGTTTTTTTTTTTTTATGAATCTAATACGAACAACCACAAGGCCACGTACCTACAAAGTATGGTGACCCTTCCATCAAAGAGAAGAGTAACATACACATACACATACACACATAGTCACCTACTCTTTCATTATATAGGATATAGATCCCACAATCTCGATTTTGTTTTAAAGGAATGTGAAGTGCCATTAAACCATAACTCTCTGACAATTGTAAATAAAAGGAGTTCAAGTAAATAACCATAATCTTTTTATGGTATTATATAGTTTACTTCTCATAACAAAATTTATTCATGGGAAAAAGTGCAGTCCTAACTGATAAGGGCCTGCTTTAGCAAGATATAGAACCAAAAAAAAAAAAGATCTTAAAATTAATGAGATGTCATTTTACTAATTTTGTCCTATTTATTTTTAAGGTAGTAAATAATTGATTTTAAGAGCTAGTTTACATTTTTTCGACATCTCAAGTATGACCAACAATACAGATAGCCACACGAAATTTATTTTATGGTTAGAATTGGAGGAACGGTTTTCTTGTTGGTTTCATATGCAAGCATGCATGTGGTCCAAGGAATAGAGAGAATTTAAAATAATTGATCAAATCTTTTATTCAAATGAACTACGTTTCTATTAAGATTATCTAACCCTAACATTAACGAGGGACAAAATATTAATAAAAATCAATTAGTTGTGTTTTCTTAAGAATATATATTATCATTAATTATTCAAGAATGAAGCTAACGAAATTCAGACCTCCAAAATGCAAACATATTTCATTTTAGTCAAAAATCTTCTAACTAATCTAATTAATTAGTCTTTCGGCAAAAAAAAGAAAATCTAATTAATCAGTCAATAGGTTACTTTAATTTAATCGAATTGAATCAAATAATTTTAAATTAGATAGATTTTATTTCATGCACCCTAGTTTCCCATCAAATAAATTGTATCACGTTAATAAAATGATGTGCACAATTAAAAATAATTTATTAGACATAAAGAAATCTCACATCTATTAATTGAAAAATATATAAAGTTTGAGATTTGTCCAATTAAATGTTTAAGTTATTTTGGTAAAGTAAACTTTTGTTAAGTACACTTAATATAAAAAAATTTAATATGGTATCAAGAATTATTCAATCTAGGGACACAAGAAAAAAATAAAGAAAAAAGATACAAAAGGTTAAAAAACAATAGAAAAGAGAAAAAAAAAAAAAAAAGAAGAGAAAATAAAGAAATTTAAGATAATTAAAGAGAGAGAAAAAATTATGGACTTGAGGAATTGCAGCTGCCGAGACTACATAAAAGTACAAGCTTCGATAAAAAGAGAAAAAAAATAGAAAGAATATTAAATATAAATAAATCTCACATTTAATAAAGAGAAAATATATTTGAAATATATAAAAAAGGAATCTCATATCTAATAATTAAAAATAAATTAGAAATACAAAAAATTTGGAATATGTCTATATAAATGGCTTAAATTATTTTAACATAATTATCTACTCTCTCCGTTTAAAAATATAAGAAATTTTTTTAAAGTTTGGATGTTAAAAAAAATGTAAAGTATTTTTTATGTTTTAAAGTGTAATCATTATTTTTTTTTAAATGCTCCTAATGAATAAATTACTTTATATTTATTTTAGAGTAAAATCATATTAAATAGAGATAAATATAAAAAATAATATTAATTTAAAGATAAATAACTACTTCATTTGAAATGAAATTCATTTAAAAATATAAATAGGGAGCATCAATTAATTTTGATTAAAAAAGTTTTATCTACGAACGGAGAATTTAAATAATAAGAAGTTAAAGCATCTATCTAAAGTTGGAGAAATTATATATTAATTATTAGTACTCTATATTTAACTAATTATTATATATACAATCATTTACATATTGCGCGCCAACTATATCATATATACCACAAAAGCCAATTCGCATTAATTAACAAACACAACTTTTTTGACATGACAAAGACAACAATCAAACAAGCTCCTCATTTACAAAAGTTGACTTAACACGCAATTTGCATGCTTGCTTTCCACGTAGGTTTACTTTTGCTTTTTTTTTTTTCTTCTTTTTCTAATCTAATTGATGTCAAATTGTTTGAGTTGGTCACAATGGGTAATACAAATAAGATACATGTAATTAAAAATTAAGTGTTCTCCAAAAATTACATAACTGATTTTCTTAGTGCATTCCCATACAAATCATTCTGACGTAGTAAAGCTGAGCTAGGGTCATAAAAGGTATATTATTCTGAATTTTTTATTACACTCTTAGGTTTTTTAAGCTTCATTATTAATTTGGTCTCTTCAGTTCTTTAACTTTTTTTGGCCAGAATCTTCAGTTCTTGCCTTAAATTCTACTTAATTTTCAAAATTTATAATTAATTCTATAAAAATTAAATTAATTTAGCTTGACTCATGAAGCCATAGATATCCTTTTCACGAGAAATTCGAACAAAAAGTTTTTATGAGAGTGTGAAGAAAATGAAGAGAAAAGTATAATAGTCATGGGCCACATCCCCCAACTACTCCAAGAGCAAAACAAACCAATGGAAAACATCTGTATATTTGTGGAGTTAAATCTTTTACCGTTCAAAATTTGTTATTAAATATAAAATTATAAAAAACAACTAAATTTAAACTACTAAAACAGTAAAACTTGATCTAATAAATTTTTTAAAATTATATTGCAAAGTATAAAAAATAAATAATTATAGTCCCTTTAACTTTATATATTCTCTCCGTTAAAAAATGTAAGGAATTTTAATTAAATCTTACTCTTCAGTAAAGTAATTATTTACTTTCTAACTAACTATATCTTTTTATATTTATCCCTATAAAATACCCTATAATAAATATAAAGTTATTAATCAATAGGAACACTTTTGAAAAAAGAGCAATAATTATACTTTAAAAGGCTAAAAATATCTCATATTTTTAATATTTAATTCTTCAAAAAATATCTTACATTTTTAAATGGAAAAAGTAAGGTTTAAATTTTATTCCTTAATTTTATGAAGTATACTTTCAATTATTTAACTTTAACACTGTTAGTTTCAAATGATTATTTTTTGTGCATGCTAAAAAAATAAAACTAATAAGATAATATTTGAAAATATCTTATCAATATTTAAAAATTTAATGTAAATAATTTTTGTGATGAAACTAGCGATATTATAATTAAAGAAATGAACATACACTTTTATAAAATTAAGAGATTAAAATGAAACTTTATGTAAAGTTAAATAATTAAAAGTATAGTTGAGTCATATATATATATATACACACACATTAATATTAATAATGTTTTAAAATATTAGATCTTGATTATTGACCATTCAATATTTAATCTAATGATTAAAATTAATGTGTAATGGAAGAATAAGTAAATAGAAAGAAATTAAAACAAATCAAGCAATAAAATAAATCTTAACCAACCAGAGCAAGTGGTATGAAACTCAACAGTCCTTATATAAGAAGTCATTATTGTGCGTTTCTTTAAGATTTTATATTGTGATTGATGATTAACCACGTCTACAGCTAAACTTTCATTCACATCCAACGTCCCCACAAATATGCTACATAATATCTCTACTGTTGTTTTTATTTGGCAAATGATGAACTGTCAGAAATTTAAATAAAAAAATTTAAATATTTCTTTGATATACTTTATATACTTTCAGCTAATCAAATTAAAATAAATAAACTTTAAAATATTATAGAGTAAATAATATTTCAAAAGATCCACATATTTTAATTTAATTAAAACAAACATCTTAAATATATTCAGATAAATACATAATTTTTTATTTTAAATAATAATATTAGAATTTTGCTAAAATAATAATAATAATATTGGATATTTCTAGAATTAAATGGTTTCAAAATTTAACACTCTAGAAAGAGAAAATCTAGATGAAGTTAATGAGAATAAATAACTTACCAGAAAGCTGAAACCAGTGACGCTGGAGAGAGAGAGAGCTAAGGTCGCGCTAGAGAGATAAAGCTCACCCAAGTGACCAACCATCATGAGCGAAACAACCTGCAAAATAAATTGAGCAGAAAGAACAGGAATCATAGGTCCGGCGATATAAACGATGATCTTCAATTCTTGCTTGAAAGCTCGCCATGTGATGAAGCTCGGTTTAGTATTTTTATGATGATCATCAGTAGTCTCGTCCGTTCTTTCTATTTCCAGCACTCTCTGGTTCGGTCTTGATAGCGTCTCTTCCGTCATGTGGTCTCTCTCTGTCTCAGATCTTTCCTCAGAGTATTTTAATGGCGAAAAAAAAAAAAAAACAGATGCAGTGAGAAAGAAAGAAAGAGATGGAAAGAGGGAAAGAGTGATTCAACTCTTTGTTTCTCTCGCTTTGTCCGGCTGGCACATGGGAAATTTATAGAAGAATCAGTGGTGGAGACACATTCATTATCCTCTCACATGGGAAAAATTATATATGTTGCATGTAAAATTTACAGCCTTGCAACCAATTCAAATTTAAAGCTTATACCAACCTACTCAATATATTTTTAATAAAAAAAACTCAATATTTTTTAAATAAAAATATATATAATTTTACTCATGCTATTATATTTTTACCTAATATAATTATTTTATTAATTATTAATTTTTAAATTATATTATAGTATAATTTATTACATCCTTGACTCAAGATCTTAACTCCATCATTAAGAAGAATAATAACTTAAGTCGTGTAGTTTCTATTGGACGATGACATAATGTTAACAAATAATTGATTTAAATTGTTAAATTAACTAAATTATATATCAATTATAATCATTGAATTTTATTAACATTAAAAAATTATTAAATTATATTTTTCTCAAAAATATTCAAAACAACCCTCAACACAATCATCTTCAAGTATGTTGAAATTTGAGATTTAATTTTTTTAAGTATGATAAGACAATTTTTAAAATCAATGGAGTAAATTGAATGGTTATCATCATGTTATATAAGCTATTCATTGAGTGGGTGGGATTTATATTCCTCATTGAATCTAAATCCAAAAAGAACTAATGCCTCCGTCTTCAATTAAGGCATCTTTTAGAAATTTTTCTTAGTCATCTTATAAAACTTAAAGAAGTATTAATGAGTTACTCTCTCTATCCCTATATGTAAGATATTTTTAACCATCATGCATGTCAATAAAAGTTTATTATTCAATTAAAATCTCATTAAATCAAAGTAATTTTTTAGTTTTGCCCCAAATAATATCAATTAATATCATCATGATGTTGAATAAAGCATATAATTAATATCTCTTCTTCTTCTTTTTTCAAGATAAGGCAAAATTTTTTAAGCACTTAAAAATATCATGACACCCTTATATTTAGAGATAAAATAAGTTTATATAAAATAGCTTATATATCAAGACAAAGGAAGTATTTCCAAAAATGCCTAAATTCCCAATTGATTTATTTGGGTGGCATGTTTTATTTTAAAATTTAAAGACGAAGTTAATAATATTTTTTTAATACAAAAAGTTAATAATTTTAATTAAAGGTAATTTGGGATTTCTAAATTTTTTTTGAAAAATAGAATGTTAATTAATTTAATCATGTTTCTTAATTCACCTAATTTAATTAAAAATACCTTATAAATAAGATTAAAGAGATTATAAAAAAAATATACCATATATATGCGACTTAGGTGGTAGTGGTACACCATAAACATAATTATACGATTTTTTTTCGAAAATAGAAAATTTGTATAAATACTATTTTAAGTAAATTCTATTAATTTATATTTGTACACTATATGTTATATTTTTTTTTACTAAATTTGAAAATCACATATAAATCTTAGACAAAAAAATCACATATAATTATTATTTTTAAAATTTATATGTTATATATTTATTACAAATAAATCTACAAAAATATGTTAAAAATATACTTTTTATTCATTCTTCATATTTATTTTTAAAGTAACATGTTTAAACAAATGATTTTTCTTTAATTATTTAAAAACATATATATCTTTAAAAATCACTCATTTTAAATATGAATAAAAATATATAAGAACTATACATACATACGTACATACATATATACTTTTTTTAAATAAATTTGGCTCCCATTATTTGAACTCTGGTCCGCCCCTCTTAATTAGGGGCTTTACATATTGGTGGGTCAATTTGTATATGTTGTAGTAGCCTTCCTACGCTGCTTTCTTTCTTTTTTTTTTTTAATTGTTTTTCAATTAATCACAATATACTTCAAAATTATTGCATAATTTGATTAACATTTCAACAATAGAAAAATTAAAATATATGGTGGAAGTGGTGGAGACAAGTATAGTGACAAAAATGTACAGCATTAGACCATTACTTTAAAACCTTTATGATGTGGGCCAAATGGTGGAAGTGAACTGTGCAAAGAAGTCTGGTAACGGGCTTCAAAATTGTGACTTCATGCATGAAGATCAAAGCTCGATTATGGGCATTGCTACCATAATTTAAAGATTAATTTACTACATATTCCTTCTAACAACACGATGGTGGTCAATTGTTAGTTAATTGAGAGTGCAAAATAAGTTTCATATTAAATAAAATTAGATTGAGGAGAAGATACATAAATAATAATTAAAAACCTTTAACTTTACTATTATTTCTTTTATGTCACGTCAAGCCTACTTATATGCTTTCATTATTATCTCAAGCCTAACACAATGTTCTATGAATATATCTCGATAATTCTAATCTACCTGAGAAAATACCTTGTGTGCTGTCGAGGATAATAGAGAGACAAAGCAGCGGAGTCATAAAAGTGACATAGTCAGTAACCTCTTTCTCATTGCTAAAAGTGTAACCATAAACATGGCAACATTGAAAAAGTATTGTACTTACAGATGTTGTGTCCAACATTACAATATACGTTGTAACCACTATATATACCCATGCAGCATGTAATATCTCCTTGACATTATCAATAATCACGACATAATCATAGCATATAATGGTAATTAGGAGCTATTGATCACTCCTAAGTTTACTGTAAATAGAGAAGGGTTAAATCAATTAAACATTTAAAAATAATTTAAAACTCATTTGGGAGACCACAAAACTCTTCTAATAAATAGTTTGATTTTAAACTTAATGATTTTTGAAAATATGGGAAGCATGGAAAAGTTTGGGGAGCAAAACACATGAAAATAGGCCCAAAAATGTCATTTTTAGCTTGTTCCGACACATGCCACGGCACATGGTCCATTCATCATAGCATATGGCACAAAAAGGGCAATTTGGCCTCTATGCCTTATGTCGCAGCTTGTGTACAAGATGCCGCAATGCACGTGATCTTATCATGATAGCATGACAGCAAAATGCTGTCATAATAGCTTTTTAGGAAAAACTTCGGACATGTGCCATTTGTACATCCTACATCTGATTAGATTGATTCAAGTATTTAAGTAAACCTTATTTGATAATTTAATTAATGGTATAAGTATCATTACGATCCAACATCATATGTGAAATTTAGACACCCAAAAGCTAAAAGTTAGTCTTATAACCAATATAGGGCATCCAAGTGCTCAAATCTCAAAACCTATACCATTAACTCAGTTTATAACTTGTGTAACATTTGGGAAAATTTAACTCTAGTTTATTAACCTAATAAGGATAATTAGTGAGTTAATGAGGTGTGTGGTTGGAGTGGATTAACTTGGCATAATTGTTATGATCTCAGCCCTAAAAGTGGGTCCGGATCGATGGCGAGCCACCTGAGTAAGGAAAGAGGAAGAACAAGTGAAAAATTATTTTCTGTGCCACATGTCGTGACGCGTGGTTGGTCTGCCACGACGTGCAGAGATAAATTTAAATGCAACGGGCTCCTCTGTGCCATGCACCGCAACAGAGGGTAGCGTGCGCTGCGGCGCATGGCTAAAAATCAAATATATCAGTTACATTATGCATGCGAAAACAAAAAAAGAAAAAGAAGAAGGAAACGAAGAGCTTAACTTTAGCTTTACTAGGGCACAGCATTGGGTTTTATTATTGATAGATTGAAGCTTCCAAACACCCATGGTAAGTTTATGGTGCCTTCTTCTTCCTTTCTCTCCCTCATTTATGATGATTTATGATAGGGTTTGACTTGAGAGATGGATTTTCGGTCCATAAGAGTATGGATCCGATTCCATTGGTTAAAATAACTATAATGGGAGTTGTTTAATGTATTAGAACACCACATTGATGATTTTGAAAGTGGTTAGTCTATGGGAGCATTTATTATCCAAAAATTGATATTGATGATGTAGTTGGGAGAGGTTTATGTGCATTAATAATGGTTTAAGGTGTTGTTAATGATAATGTTCATATATGAAATTTAATGAGCCCATTGGATATAAATGGATGGTGATTATGAGTTGATAAAAATAGAGTGTGTGGAGTTTTATATTGATAAAGCATCAAGAGTTAGACAATGATGATATTCTTATGATATGGATGTAGAGAGGTTCATTTTTGGCACCATTCAAGCTTGTTGAAGCTTTAGGAAGTTGGTATAGTGAGGGGTAAACCTTTAATCTCTCAAAGGTTTGAGTAACCGGAAAAAAATTAATCTTTATAGTTGAATGTTAATTGTGTTTATGAAATGTGAATTATGAGTTAAATCAATGATGCATATTGATAAAGTGTTTGATTTGTGAAATGGTTTTTAGAAAGAAAACCTTAATTTTTCCACCTTTAGTATTTTATGAAATTAATTGTGATTTATTACTATGGGTGGAGAATTGTGATGAGTTATGTGTTGAATTGTGGAGTATTTGAGTTATGTGAGCTCATGTGTTATGAATTGATTGTTAAAATACATATCATGTGAAACATGTGCATAACATGATCATTGGTAGAAGTTTCCTAAGGAGAGGAGTAGATAGATTTAAATCCACACGGTATTGGCAGTGATTGTTGGAATCAGAAACTAGCCTTGGAACTGACCTTTGGAATCAGGAGGTAGCCCTTATCTCATGATTGTTTTGGGACAATTCTATTGGTTCTATGAGGGACTCGAACCTAATTAGTCTCCACTGGTTCATTAGGAGGCTAGATTAGGGGTATGACATCTTATGATTGTTAGTATTGGGGGAAATCAAATTACATAAGTGAGGGCGTTCACCCTAACCTGGTAGCTTCTCACAAGTGAAAAGCTGGGTTAGCCTGTAAAGGATGTAGCCACGTGATAGCTAACGACTTCGTGTCAAAGGTAATAGGAGGATAAGGTTGGCATCTGATCATGCATATAAGTCCAGCCACATAGTTATTAGTTTTGTGGTCCGGCATGTGTTGAATTTTTACGACCCTAAATAACATGATAAAAGATTTTGTGGCAAGCCCGGTCACATGGTTGTTAGTTTTGT